ATTGGACTAATGTTCCGATGGCGTCCATGTGTAAAGAATGGAATAATCCGATTTTGTATTGACTCTGGAGCGACGCATAGATCCTCAAAAATAATTACAGTACTTCTCTCTGGAGAAAATGATTTTACGCTAGGAATTTTTTCAGGTGAGATATATTTAAATCTAATATTTTCGTAGTATGGTGCTTTTGGATCACTTGCGATTACTCCATATACAGTGTGTTAAGAAAGTCTTTGGACAAAATTTCACGAGACAAATTAAAATCGCACAAGCTTCCATTCTAGGTTAGCAACTTTCCGACCACAACTAATATTTATTGATTGCCAGGACGATCTTTTTTTTTTGTAGCACCTTAAACCGTGTCACCCCACTTATTTTTTAAATAATCAAACGAAGATGGTTGTCAGTAAAGATGTTCGTGCAAAGGCGATCCAGCAACAATGGGACGTAGGGGTACGAAACGCAAGACAAATATGCAAAAAAACGGGTATTTCAAGGTCTACGACATACTATAATCTTTCTAAGCTAAAAAAAAATGGAAGTATTACTCACCGAAAGCGCAGTGGGCGCCCCCAAAAAATCTCTCCCGAAATCTCCAGGTTTTTAGTCAGGCAAATAAAGAAGGATCCCTCAATAACTACAAGAGCGTTGTCCATCAAACTATTAAAAAAAAAAATTCAAGTTTCCCATGTAACTATTTTAAACCATTTAAATGGTCTTGGCTACAAAAAAGGTCGTGCGGAAGAAACACCAATGCTTACAGAGGTACAAATTCAAAGGCGTATAGAATGGGCGGAAAAATACATCAATCATGATTGGAGCCGAACGGTATTTACCGACGAAACGGCTTTTCAGCTGTTCAGGAATACTGTAGAGTATTGGTACAAAGATAAGCGGCCAGTACGACGAATTCCAAAAGAAAGAAAAAAAATATTCGCTTGGGGCGGATTCTGGAGGGGGGGTAAGACAAATCTTTTTTGTTTTCAGGGAATAATGGATGGTCCGTTTTATGTCCAAATTTTAGAAAAACACTTCCCAGAAATTAGAAGAGTACTCGGGGGTCGTTGGGAGTTTCAACAAGACAACGACCCCAAGCACACAAGTCGTATAGCCAAGTCGTTTTTAAAAGAAAATGCTCCAGAAGTGATCGATTGGCCTTCCAACAGCCCCGACCTAAATCCCATAGAAAATCTATGGAATACTGTTAAGGGGAATGTTGAGAAACGGTGGCCAAAAAATTTTGAGCAATTGGAACGATTCATGGTGGAAGAATGGGAAAAAATCCCCGAAGAAATTTTAGTGAACTTGGTAGGGTCGATGAACGAGCGTTGTAGGCTTGTAATTGAAAAAAACGGGGAGCGTATCCCGTACTAAATAATTTTTAATAAATATCTGATTTTTTGGCTTTCTAACAAGCTATTGTACATGTGATTCTGCGCGGTCGTTACATAATTATTATCACGTGAAGTTGTCCAAAGACTTTCTTAACACACTGTATATATCTAACAAATGCCCATTTAGGTTCATCTGGGTGGTATCCACAAACTATCAAATCATCACATCGTATATAGCGGGATCCACCCTTTTTCTTTTTATATATACATTCACCTTTGTCACCAACGAAAATATTTCCAAGTATGTTAGTTTTACCCGTACCACTCTTACCACTAACTACCTTACTGAAAGGCCATGACATTGCTGGATGTCCAACATTTCGAATTGATTCATGTTTATTAGCTTCGTCCATATCCATAAGGTAAAGTTTCATAGGTGGTAATTCTTTCTTTCGGTTCTTTT